CACGAGGATTACCTTAAAAGGACCCTGCCATTTGGGAGGGAGAGGTGAGGGCCGATGATCTGGAGGGGAGAAAAGCACTTGGTCTCCAATGTTGACAGGCAATGGAGACAGTGTGTGGTCGAGGTGTAGATGGTGGTCAGCAAAGTTCCACAAGAGAGAACGGAGGTGGCAAAGTAGTGGGGTGAGCAGATGGCCTAGGAGGGGGGAACAGGCAGAACACATGGAAAGAGTATAATGAAGGTAGATAAATGCTCAAGCATAGGGGATTTGTTTCCATTTACCAGACTGCTGGCAGTATGTGTTAAGACCTCTTAAAATAGTTGGTCTAGTGTGCCATTACATGGCTACTTTATCTAGAGGATATCGAATCCAGGCCTTATTGCCGAGGTGTATCAATTTGGAAGGCCTCAAATCAGGCGTTGAGGTTTTTCAGTAGACAACCCAGTGGGGTGTCTGTGGGTACAGTTGAAGACAATGTGGTACCCATTGGGTGACGGCTGTTACCGAGCTATCAGTTGGTGTCCCGAAAGAAAAGCTGGCAACGAAAAATCAGGCTCAGGCTAGATAATCAGGTCGTCACAAGAATATCTAGGGGCCTCTGTGGAACTAGTCCGGCAGAAAATAGCTTACCTGGTACCAGGATTTCCGGCAGCTGCGAGAGCTTGGAGGGGGATGGGTGGGAGCTATTTCTAAGAGGGAAATCACCCAATGGACAATGTCCTAGGTTGTAGTTCAGCTAGAGGCCAGTCATATGGACTGGGGCAATGAAAAGCCAACCCCTTAGCCCAGGGAAGGTTGGCCAGATCCTAACTGGGTGTCCAGGGTTCCTCCTACCAATTGGAAACTCCTTACCAATTAAGGTGTGTTTGCGGGCTTGTGCAGTCTGGTATCAGGAAAGGTGGAACCGTGAGGTCTGTGTAGGCCTGTCTGGCTGCCTAGCCCACGTGGCAGAGCAACACGTGGGGGCCACGTGGTGGAAGTTTTGCCAGCCTCTCAGCTGCGGATGGGGTTGGTCTGCAGCAGCGGTGGGAATTCACACGGTCGGTGAGGGCAGGTAGCAGCAGATGAAGTCCACGTGGTGTAGTGGTGGCAGCTGCGGTGGTGGGGTTGCGGCAGGCCACATGGCGTCAGTCTTGTACGGTCACAGCAGCCTCACAGCAGCTGGCTCTGCGGCTGCTTGCCGGTGGCCACGTAGGTCTCGTGGTTCCTGAAGTCTTCGTATCCTGGGTTTCGGCACCAATGTTAGACTTCGGAGTGCAGCTTGGAACAGACAACACCAGACCGAATGGTTCCAAAGGGGAGGGGGTTTATTTGGGGCAGAGGGCAAAGGTTGGGAGAGAAACGGGAGAAGATGGTAGAGAAAGAGGAGAGAAGTGGAGGCCGGCCATGACCATGTGGAGAGAGGGGGAAGGGAAGGGAGGAAGGGCAAGGAGAAGCTAGAGGCAAGAGAGTAAGAGAGTAAGAGCTATAAATGAATTTTTTTTTTCTTTTTTGGTTTTTCAAGACAGGGTTTCTCTGTATAGTCCTGGCTGTCCTGGAACTCACTCTGTAGACCAGGCTGGCCTCGAACTCAGAAATCCGCCTGTCTCTGCCTCCCAAGTGCTGGGATTAAAGGCGTGCGCCACCACTGCCCGGCTTCTCATCACTTCTTATGTCACATGATCTCTTTGATTTTACCAGGCTTGAAACAGTCAGTCACAAACCAAATAATAAGGATCTGTCTTAGAAAATCTTGAGGAGGGTTAGATTTCTGCTCATGGTGTCCGTGTGCAATTGGTTTGGAAGTGGCTGGCCCTGAGCTTGGTTAGCCCGGCCAGCACTGAGGCTTCTCTTTTCACTTTTCCCAAAGCTATTTTTCTCATTTCAAACTAGTGGATAGGCCAAAGTTCTGAATTGAGTAAGAAGGAAGTCATCTTTCATTAGAATTTTATCAGAAAAGCTTTAAAAGTTATTAGCGTTGGACTGATCTTGAAAAAAGTTGTTAACCCAGAGTAAAAGTAGGTGAAATAACTTTTTTCTTTTCCTGACTTTGAATGAGAATACCGTGCTTAGAAAAAGTAATGGCACAAGCCATGCTCTAAACGCAGAATCTTGTAACTTATTACTGAGGAGGAGTGGGGATCTGATTACTTGTCTCCAGGGACAGACAGACTCAAAAGCAAGATCTCATTTAAGACTAAATACAAGAACTCCTTATGGATTAGTAATAACAATACTAAATCTAAAATAGTATTTCACCTAATGACTGAGTAATAGGCCTGGGGAGTGGGAAAAATGGGGTTTGCAAACCGTACATCTCCTAGGAGAATACTGCCACCTTGTGTATATGTGATGCTAGTCTCTAAGGACCCATTTTCTTTTGTTGCAGAAAATAATTTTTCCTTTTCATATTTGTACTACTTGGTTCTGCAAGTTTGTAAACCATGTTTTAATAGGGTAAAATCAAGCCAACCTTCATTTTGGCAGTAGGAAGAGTCTCTGGTTTTGACAATATCAAATTGGTGTGGTTAACTTCAGGAATTTGAATGCCTGGGATATGATACTAATTTACTCCTGGTTTAGTTATGAACAACTTCCTTTTATTGGATGTTTGGGAAAGCTAAGGATTTTGTATTCTTTATTGCAGTTTTCCTGGTGCCTTGAGATTCTTCTTCTAAATGGCAGAGTTTACTATTTGATGGGGAAGACATTAGGCACCAGACTTACTGGTACATTGCTCCTTGATTCTTAAGTGTTTCCATCAGGCCCAGTGCAGAATGACCACAGCAAGAATTTAGAATAGTGCCTTTGAGAAAATATTAGAATGGTGAAAAGAGGACTTTTAAAATTATTTTGGTTACCCGAGGGTATAATTTAGCAGGTTTTGGATATTGTTATGAGACTGGGTTGAATGTTCTCTAGGTATAAAACTTTATCTGGAAAATGTGGGACAGGGCACTTTCTAAGGATCTTTTTAGCATTTGGATTTTGTAACTTGTGAAGCTTTTGCTCTCTTCTATGTATGTTGAAGCTGTAACACATATCAAGGTACTTGCAGCCTTTTACATAGGAGGATAATTTGGATCAGTTGCTAAATAAGAGTTCTGTTTTGACTCATGGTTTGGAGGTTTCCTTCTGTGACTGGCATCTATTGTTTTGGTGTGGCCACTGGTAAGGCAGTGTATCACACTAAGCAGCACGTGTCAGAGCAAATTAGTTATTCTATGCCCAGGCTGTAAGAAAGAGACTAGAGATGCACAGTCCTCTTTAAGGACATGCCTCTAATGCCTCTAGACTGCCTACTAGACCCCGCCTACTAAGGGCTCATCTTATAACACCATGCCCCTGGGGGCACAGTTATCTTTAGTTTGTGTTTATTAATTTCATCCCTGGTCTTTATTATTTTCTCACTACTGCTCTCAGGATTGGTCTGTTGTTTCCTTCCTGAAGAGTTCACTAAGTCTGACGTGCTCTGGAGTTGGGATATCAGCAGAGACATCTAAGCTTTTTTCTCAGAGCTGCCTTAGCTCTGTCCTAGAGCTTCTGATAAAGTTTGCTTTTGGTTTTTGAGTCTAGGGATTTTTAAATTTCCTCCTTGATTTCTCCAGTTAACCACAAGAGCGCATTTGTTTGTAGAGTGTCTATAGTTTCTCTTGCTATCATTATTATTTAATAAGGCACACATCTTTTTCTTTTTAACTTGTTAAGACTTGATTTATGGCCTAAAATGTAGCATTTATATTTTAAATCTGCTTTATTAACATGTCTGCTAGTAGTCAAGCTACCTTTTTAAAAGAGCTTTTTTAAAGATTGGTTCTTTGTGAATTTCCCGTCACATACCTGTCATACTACCTTATAAATTGGTCTATTTCATTATAGCAGAAAAATAAGAAATTCTTATGTTTTTCTAACACATGTAAAACTAAGTTTCCTGTTCAAGTGTGTTCCTAGTTTTAACTGCAAAGTTATTTAGGTCATCTTACATTTATTTACGTACACTATTAGGGACCACACCCAGAAATTTGAGCATGATAGGCTATGTCCCTACTTAAAACTCAGTATTTAAGATGAAGCAGTTATCTTCTACGTCCACTCCTTTTGGTCTCCTTTTGAGTGCATTACATTTGTTGACTGTGGCGCACTGTCAAGCATGTACAGCTCATTGCAATGACTTTATATTTAGAATTGCTAATATGTAGGCATTTTTGTTTTCATTTTTATTTCAACTAGTAGTAATGGGCATAACGTCTTTTAAATGATTGTAAAAATTTAAAGCCAATGATACTTTGTTTGGTTTTGAAATGTTTAGCAAGTCTTTTAAAAAAGAGTTAAAAATTGCTTTTAGTTTCTGTGTGTGTATGTGTGTGTGTTTGAGAGAGAATATTAATATTGTAAGAGACAAATTGAACATGAAAATACTGAAACAAGGGAATAAGATAATTCTTTTCTTAGTATCTTTTGCTTTACACCAACAATGTTCATAACATGAATACTATTGTGAGACTAGTTAAGTAAAATTTTTTGGATGTTTTGGAACGAATACAAAAAAAGGGCTGAAGTGTGAGGTTGGCATCTAAAGTCTTTAACAAGTGAATTGATCTTGGTGTTTGTCTTACTGATTTTGCATATTTTCTTAGTATCAAGTATGGAAATGGTGATAGCTGCCGATAGTATGATTATGTAGAAACTCATAAAATGAAATTTAATCAAGTATACACAGAGGAGGAAGGGAGGGAGGGAGGGAGGGAGGGAGAGAGGGAGAGAGAGAGAGAGAGAGAGAGAGACTGAGATTGAGACGGTGCATGAGCATGCATGAGAGCGTTGTACATGGGTGAATGCTATGCACATAGAATCCTGAGGTGTTGGATTCTCCAAGTAGTTATGAGTCACCCCATGTGGATCCTGATTGGCAAACTCAAGTCCTCTGTATGAGCATCACACACTTTCAACTGCTGAGCCATCTCTAGCACCAGGATAGGTCTTGTATGTACATATACATGTTTTTTGTTTTTTCTCATTAGGCAAGAAGTTATGAAATGGAATGGATGGGGCTATAATGATTCCAAGTTCTTATTCAATAAGAAGGGCCAGGTTGAGCTGACTGGGAAAAGGTAATCCTGCTTTTAAGTTCACTTTATTCCTTCTTTTCCTTTTCTTATATTTTTAAACATATAAAAAAGGGCATGATAATATGATGTTCCCTCCTCTAAGCAAAAGTTACCAGCATTTTGCTAATTTCTTTTTATCCTATAATATTTTAAATTCTGATGTCATCATAATACCTATACTTTTATATCTTTAAAAATAAGTCTTTATAATCACTCATATATTATTATCACACTTCCAAAGTAACAAGCTTGTTATAATATCTAATTATTTAGTCCATATTCTCATCACCCCTGTTGACAAATGTCTTGTATAGGGAGTTTTCTGAATCAGGATCCAAAGAGTCATTTCTGGTCCTCCATGCTTTTGATTTATTCAAAGTGATTTTGTATTTAAGTCTCATAATTTGCACCTAGGTTTGGGTTATAATGAGAGATAACCTTTAAGGTTATTCGTAGAGCATTAATTAAGAGCAAAGAGGATACAATGGTGCTGCTGGAGACTGTTTTTCTAGGGCAGTGGTTCTCAACCTTCCTAAAGCTGCAACCCTCTAATACAGTTCCTTATGTTGTGGTGACCCCCAAATCATAAAATAATTGTTGTTGCTACTTCATAACTGTAATTCTGCTGCTGCTGCTATAAATTATAATGTAAATAGCAGATCTGTTACCCATGTAAAAGGGTCATTCAACTCCCAAAGGGGTCGCAACCCACAAGTTGAGAACTGCTGAGTTAAGAAGTAATAAAAGTAGAGAATTTATCTGCTAGTTTTAGAGACTGGAAAATTGAACTACTGCCACTACACCCAGCATGGGTTCCTTAAGGCTTCATTTCCTAGATTGTTGAATTCTAATCCAAAGACATAAGAGAAAGGAAGAGTAGGTGCATTCTGTAAGCTCTTGAAGAGGGGCATGGAGAAGGTGGGTGCTTGGTTTGTCACTTAGGGGTAGTCAGTTCTCCCCTCACTCCAAAACTTATACACATGGAAGTAGGTTCTGGGTACTCTGGAATTACAATATTTAGTAGACAAGCAGTTTAGTTACTGAACCTTCTAGGAACTGCTTGATCATTCCTAGACGTAGAGTATAAGCTTCATTTTTAGATAAAGAATTTTTTAGAAAGATTTTTTTACCTCTCTAGCATTCTTTATCTACTTTGTACCTTAGGTACCCTCTTAGTGGCTTGGCTTTACCAACTTTGAAAGACTGGATCCAAAACACCCTTGGAGTAAATCTGGAGCATAAAACTACCTCTAAAGTAAGCAAATAATAGTTACAATATGTTCAGTTGTGCTTTTCATACCTAAACAATTAGCTATTGTCATAATTTGTTATATTTGTTCAGTACAATTATCTTGTTGTGAAGCTGATGAAATATTTGGCATTTCTTTATGTTGTCATTATTTTTATTGTTATTTTGCAATACGTGAAGTAGTTAACCATCTTTCCAGTTGGATATTCCACCTCATAAGTATGGACTGCCTTACGTGATATTATGCACTGTATTCAGCATGTTATTGTTTCTATGGGCTGGAAATGGCTCAGCAGGTAAGAGCTGTTAATACTCTTACAGAGAACCTGGGGTTAGTTCCCAGGGTCCACATGATGGCTCTAAATGGTTGCAACTGTATTGCTGTTTTTAGTAATTTAAAATGCTAGGCAGAATATTTGTCTGGATTTGTTTGGTTATTCCCTTTTGGTAACTATAGGATAAATTTTATGAAGATAAGACCACAGCCTCTCATCCCCATCTTCATCTCCATTAACTCTAATGCTTGTTTCTATGGTTCTTAGGTGTTCTTATGGTTCTATGGTGCCTGGTTTTTTGAAGTAAAATTAATATTTATCGGAATGGATACAGTATCTGAAGAGATTAAGAGAGTATAGAAATACCAGATAATTTTTGTTTATATATTCTTATAGATTTTAAAATTCCAAATATTGTATTTCCTTATATTTAGTTGTATATGTTTGACATGCAGTTAAGTGCTTTTACTTAGTATACCTGATCTGCTTTCTTATACTAGCCCTACACATTTGGTTGTTAATACTATTACTATGTGAAGAAGCTGAGGCTCAGGGAGGTTGAGTGACATGCTCAATGTTGTTTTAACTTTACAGTTGAAGGTTAGGCTTTAAGATACCAACTGGAGGGGGCTGGATTAAGAGCACTGGCTGTTAAGAGCACAGCGGTTAAGAGCACTGGCTGTTCTTCCAGAGGTCCTGAGTTCAGTTCCCAGCAACCACATGGTGGCTCACAACCGTCTGTAAAGAGATCTGATGCCCTCTTCTGGCCTGCAGATGTATATGCAGGCAGGATACTGTATACATGATAAATAAATACATAAAAAAAAGGATACCAACTGGAATTGAATACCAAGTTTATATTATATTAAGTCATGCATTTCTAAACTATCTAAAAATTATAGTTTTATTACTTAATATAAGAGTTTCTGTGCAATATTTTAAAATGGTCATTGAAGAGTGGGAAATGGTAAATTTTATCTACAGTGAAAATTTTTAATGTAAAGCATACCTAGTACCTTTAAACTGGAGGTTTGAGACTTCCCTGTCTTCTCTATTGTTGATTACAGTCTTTATTGTTAGTAACAAAGCGCCAGTCATAGAAACAAAGAGAAAGCATAGTTTCCCTGTTACATATATTATGGGATATGATTAATCAAATCATTTGTATTTTGCTACTGTTACCAAGTTGGACTCTAGTACTTGATATATCATATATTGAAAGTTAAAAAAACATGCATTTTATAATCATTCTCCTAGCAGAGGGGATCAAAAATTATTATTTAGAAATAAGTCAAAGTTATCAATTTTATATTTTAGACATCCATAAATCCTAGTGAAGCACCTCCTTCTATTGTGAATGAAGATTTCCTTCAGGAACTTAAAGAAGCTCATATTTCCTACTCACAGGAAGCAGATGATCGTGTGTTTAGAGCGCATGGTAGGCTGCTTACCCTGGGGCTGCTCACACTGGAGCTGCTTACCCTGGGGCTGCTCACACTGGAACTGCTTAAACTGGGGCTGCTCACACTGGAACTGCTTACTCTGGGGCT